AAGAGTTTTACAAGGATCCATAATAGACCTCTGGCAGTCAGACATATATAATTTAAGTTACTTAATTTTTTGATTTTGGAGAATGGGAAAAGTTGTATACGAGTGTGACAGTGACAGTGACAGTGGCAGCGACCAAATGGAACCTAGGAATTAGTCTCTAGGATGGGATTTTTAGTTGGTTTGGTTTTAGTTTAATGGAAAAGGCTTTAGTAACAAGTTTCTGGAAATTTAGGGATTTCTATAAGCAATCCGTGGTCAACATTTTCCATGTTACATTCCATCTTGGATCAGCCAAGCATGTTGATGCAAATTTAAAAACAGATAAATATATTGACAAGTAGAACAACTTCAAATCAACCCGCCAGTTTGGAATCTAGCAGGAAAGTGAAGACAAGGACATTGACTATTATTGTTGCATTTGCATCAGAATGTAGATGCACAATCCCATCAAATGTATGCACATGCTTGTATACTTACAGTTATATTCAGTCCATCCAATTGTTTGGTTTTCAAGATCATAAAGCACCAGCTTATTTGAAAGAACCAAATCTGTAAACATACATTGAACTGAAATTAGACTAAAGAAGCATAAGGCTATCAAATGATATGTTCATCAGACCAAAAAAATCCAAAATTAGATGATGACAGAAAAATATCGTATAGGCTTCCTTCAAAAGGTACATAATCTCATATTAACAAGGTATGGCACTTAAAATTGATTAACTATAATGTTGCTTCTGTTCTTTTCAGGGTCAAATTTTTTACATTTCTGCTCATTTTGCTATAGCCTCATGAGCAACGCCATGACCCCTAATTGACAAAATGGATGCTCTCCTAAATCCAATCAGATATCAGTTAAAAGTGATCCAGAAATAAATGAGTGCGATTCAGAAAACCTGGGAGATATTGAACAGTTTGGTTAAATAATAAAGTATCATCAATGTTGGCTCTAGGTACCAATTATTAGTTGCTAAAGAAATTGAAAAGTAATAGCCCAACACAAGTTTTAATGTCAAAATGCCATCTGAATTAAGAGAGCAGGGGCTAGAAAAGGGAAAGGAAGAGAAGCAGCAATCTAATCAAGTACTTCAACAATTTGATAATTAATCAGAATTAAAAGTAGTAGCCGGAAAAATCACATGCATACCTCCTAAAAGAGTAATGTTCTGTTTATCTTGGGATTGCAGTCCACTATTTTGAAAACCAAGACACATCAAGTCTTCCTGTCAAAAATTAAAATTGTACAGATTTGAGGCATAAGCTTTGATGATGTGGGAAGAGAGAGAGAAAGAGAGAGAGCACAGATATTTTGCAAGACAAGAAATACTAGAAAAACATTGGTGATGTAATTTCCAACATAACCTGAACTTATTTTCTCTCTCAAATAGCCTTTCCCTTCTGTCAAAAGGAAGAAATAATACAGAATTCCACTGCACTTGGGCTATGGTGCAGAGGAAACGACCAAATAAATAGAACTCTCCAAAAAAAAAAAAAAGAAAAGAAAAGAAAATAGAGAAGCTTGTAATGTAAGCTAAACTGAATTTTGTCTTGGAACTCTCTCATGTTGGTGGTAGCGAGAGATTTCAACCATGTAGTTTTCACACATAGTTAAAAATAATCTGTGAATTACCATTTGCACAATTTTCCGCGGTATTATGTTGAAAACCCTCTAGCATATTTTTAATATAAGTTGCATAGAAACACGACACATAGACCACACAACATAGAGCGACATATGATTTTTCTAGAAAGTAGGGAATAGGCATGCCAGGGAAACGTCAATCTAATTTCTTTAAAATCTTAAATATATTGGATACGGAACATGCCATGTTGAACATTTGCCCGAAGAATGTCCCTAAAGTATCGTTAGAAATTAAAAACATATAATAAATAGGACAGGGATGTGGTGTGTGGGACCCATGCCATGGAGTGTCCTAATACGTATTGGACATGCACATGCTGCATCGTAGGAATGTCCATGCATCATTGTTTTTAACCATCCCATAACAGTTAAAGCAGTCATTTTCTGGTTCAGTTTTGAAGTTCACGTCAAACTGAAATAAGAATTGAATTAATATATTCCACATAAGTGTCTTGCTTTATTAATCAAGTTTAACTAAACGTATAACTGACACCAAACAGCTGCAGGTAATCCCCGAGATTTTCCACAAGTGAGAAGTATCCAGAATGTTATTCACCAATACTCACAGGCCAATGCATCACGATTTGCAATAACCAGTTCAATATGGCTCAGGTTTTGAGAATGAGCATGAACAAAATGCAAGACCATAAAGTGTACATACAATTAACTAAATTGATCTCTGCAGTTATAGGTTTCTTGAATTTTCTCGTAAGTAGTTGTGTGATGATGATAGTGTAAGTGTCAGCGTAACTCAATATACTCGTATATAATATCAGAGAGAAATGGTACCTAAACCTTTTGATGGAATTATGAATATGATGAAAATGCTATCAGTTTTCTAGGAAGTTATAACTTGGTAACGGCAAAAGCAGGTATCAGATTCTTCTTTATATTACCGATTCATTTGCTGTTACAATCTGTAAAGAAGGGATGTTAAAGAGCTGGTTGTATAGAATCAAGTAGAGGTGAAAAAAATATGTTTAGGGAGAGCCCTGAGAGAGAAAGGATGAGAGACCGAATTTGAGGATTTTCCAGAGGATGATTATAGCAGAATAATTAAGAATACCAGGACTTGGGATAGAAGATGCATCAGATTAGATGATCCCAAATTCTCAACAAGCTATCTGAAAATATTTTCTATCCATCAGAAAATAGTGTCTAAGATCATAGGAGAAACTTAAATAACCCTTCTTTTCCGAGCCCAAGTAAACTGGGGATTCAAGGGTCAGAGATTTTTCTTACAAGTTGACACTACATTTGGACCTATCAAAACCATTAAATATGCCAAACATACAGAAAGTAGGCAACAATTAGATGCCACCCCAATATTTCTCCATAATCACAAATATACTGAACTGTCCCTTTCACAAAAGCCAAAGAAAACTAAAATAGTCAACTGACACACCACTGCTTCCTAACAAGGATGGGCTTGAAGACTACTTATCCAAAGAACCAAGAGACATTGCACAGTGACCGAGGCAATTTTCTAGTGTTGCTCTGCTTTCATGAACCAATAGACAATAAATATATTGAATTATACTTCCCCTAGAGTAGGGGGCGTGATGCACAAGAAGTGCCTTAGAAGTTATTCATTGGAGTTTAGAGGAACTCAATTCTAACTTTTATTTCTGTTCATATAAATAGATCACCAAGTGCTAACATGAGAACACAGTATAACAATATTTGATAATACATAGGCTACTTCCAAAATTGACTACTCTTCACCAGCCAATACTGATAAATGAAAAGGGTAGCAACAATTGATTAACGAAAACAGAAATGTTTTCTGAAAGCCAAGTTTATCTCTAAATACCACTTTCAACAATTAGTAAGTAATGCAAAAAACAATGTTCTTCTGCTAAATTTCTACAAACTTCTATTAAATGAGAACGAGGCAGTTTTTAATCAATGACTAAATATTCATGAGAGCCAGTGAAGGCTTCTAAATTAAACCTAATATCTCAAATTATATGTGACGGTGCAGGCTTCTTATAACATGTAACAGCATTGATGAACAGGAAATTTCTATAAGCTTGTATTATCATGGTATTTCATTGTAAAGAAGCTTCTCACTTCATTTAATTATTGCTGCACAAATAATTAATCGAAGCAAGCATCCCTGACTTGTAGTATCATCACAAGTTTACATCCTAAGCCCTATGAATTGAGGACCAATACTGATGCTAGAAAGACCTAGAGAGGAAACAGAAGTAATTTCAGAAATTATGGAGCTCATTTATTCAACAAAGTGATTATGCATGACATGAGGTGGAAGCTGCAAAAGAAAAAATAAATAAATAAAAAAATCCATACTTTACCAGCTCATAATAGCTTTCTCATATCGTGACCCAACATTTTAACCACACGTAAAATAAAAAAAGTTTCAAGACAAAACGTGATTAGAGCAATAACGGATAATGCAAAAAAAAACCATGCTAAATAACAGAATGTACTTACAAAAGGGAACAAATATTCGCTAGGATAAACCTTCAGATGAAGCGAATTTTCAAAATGAAAAGTGACAGGGGGAAACGCATCATCAACGCTGCAGCAGATAGGAACAAAAGTTAAACCGTGTTGATTACCTGGTTTCCTAGTATTTCCAGAAACTTCAGCAAGCATACAAGTCAGAATGGAGATACATGCAAATGACCAAAATAAATGAGTGTACTTCAAGGAAGTAAAGTCGAAGGGCAATGCCAAATCAGGCAGTCAAGAGAATGCATTTTCTTAAATGAAACCAGTAAAATGTTACTGCCATTTTCCAGTGACCAAAGCAAAAATGACCTTATATAAATTGTTGTTTACAGAATCTAGTCTAGGTTGAACAAGAAACAGAAAAACAATTTCAAGTTACTAGATATGCTATTCAGTGTATTCATAATAAACCAAATATTTTCTGAAGGACGAATTGAGTTGAATTATTGGTTTCGTTAGTGACTACAAATGGCAAAAACATGAGAATAACATGCATCTATCTCAGCCCAGTTATTACAAACAAATTTGGGAGGAATCCATTTTTCTTATTTGACTTCAGTTTCCCTTGATAGCATTAGACAGTGAAGCTGCCATATTGTTGTGCATGTGACTTATATAGAATAGAACACAGACCCTGGATCAAATGGGCCGATGTTGGCATGGATTTAATTCACTGTTTGGTTGTTAGAGACGCTGAATGGGTTGGGGGTGCGGGGGCAACGTCCCCGCGGTACGGTACAGGGGTATTTTCTGTACGGGCCTTAAAGTTTTATATGGGCCCAGGCTAGGGTTAGTATAAATATTATGTTGTAACCCTATTTTTCACAACTGAATAAAGAAATCTCCGCTTCGCTCTCGTGGACGTAGGCACATCGCCGAACCACATAAAATTCTTGTATTGATTTTCGTTTTTCATCTTTTTAATATTGCGCATAAAATCCAACACATATTTAAAAACTAGGTAAAAAGGCCAAAATTATTGACTGTATTGTGTAACATTGTGCAGAACTGAGGTTCACTAGTCACGGATAGTTCTCAAAATTGTTCATCAAGAAAAACATGATAAATCCAGGACCTATGACATTCAATTTCCCCAAAGCCTAGCTTCCTAATCCTTAACAAGTTCCTCCTTGGAGCTTCTTGGAATGTAATAAGCCAATCAAACAAGCAAGTTGCAGAAGGGCCCTGTTATGCTAAAACATCCCTCCTTCCACTTCAAACACTAATTATCTTCCCTGTTGCAGTAAAACATAGTAGGGTGTGGCCGAACCAATAAGCATGTCATATGGATAATGTTCAGAAAACTAGGCAGAAACTTGTGAACATTCAGTAAGTGACTTGGTAACAATAAAGGCAAGCAGTCGGTTTACAAAAGGGAAAATTCAAGAGGTCAAAAGGTTGTAACAATTAAAAGAGGAATAAAGAAAGGAAAAGGGCAAAAATATGAATGATATTAACGATAAAGTTGATATAAGTTCTAGTGCGGAACAATTTGTAAGTTTGCATACTTAAAACGGGGTATGGGCAACACAAATCAGTTTTATGCTTTTACTTTAAGGCATAGTTGTATTTTTTTATTTTTATATGAAGGCATTCTTCACTGAACACAAAAATAAAAATAAAGATCATATACTCTAGTATTCATATCACTTATAGTTAAGCTGAGTAATACTGTAGTAGAGCTAAGAAAATGTATTGGTGAAGAATAAAACTTCTTTTTATTTTCTATGAATATTACACATCCAATACGACCTATTTATATTACAAAGAATGGAATAAAAAAGAAAGACTCCAATCTGTTAAATAAGGAAATAAATCATCTAACTAATAATCCTATAACAATCATATCAATTATAATATTCTATGTGTCTTTCCATAATCGGTTTTCTATACTCCCCCTCAAGTTGAACCATAGATGTTAATCAAGTTCAACTTGCAGCTGAAGGTATCAAAAACTTGTTTTGGTAGTCCTTTAGTGAAGATATCCGCAGTTTGCTCCTTTGTAGGGACATATGTCATACAGATAATTCCATCTTTCACTTTCTCTTTGATAAAATGTCTGTCTCCTTCTACATGTTTAGTTCTGTCATGTTGTACTGGATTGAGAGAAATATTGATGGCTGCTTTGTTATCACAATAGAGTTTGATTGGAAGCTCAACCTTGATGTTTAGTTCTTCTAAGAGTTACTTTATCCATAATCCTTCACATATTCCTTGTGCGACAGCTCTAAATTCAGTTTCAGCACTATTTCTCACCACTACATTCTGTTTCTTACTTCTCCAAATTACCAAATTTCCCCAGAGAAAAGTATAGTAGCCAGTAGTAGATCTTCTGTCTTCCGTTGATCAAGCCCAATCTGCGTCTGTGAATATCTCTACTCCCTTTCTTTTATTTTTTTCGAAGAACAGTCCTTTCCCGAGATTGCCTTTTAAATATCTCAATATTTTGTACACAGCCTCCAGGTGGGCTTCTTTGGGAGAGTGCATATGTTGACTTACCATGCTGACTGCGAAGGCAATGTCAGGTCTAGTGTGTGATAGGTAGATCAACTTCCCAACAAGTCTTTGGTATTTGTCTATTTCCATGGAGTTACCAAAGTCCTTCGTTATTTTTCCAGCCTCAATAGGTGTGTCGCTTGTTTTGCATCCTAGCATCCCAGTTTCAGTTAATGGATCCAGAATATATTTTCTTTGAGAAACACTAATACCCTTCTTTGATCTTACAATCTCCATTTCTAAGAAGTATCGCATCTGTCCTAGGTCCTTCACTTCAAATTTGGTGGCTAAGCATTTCTTTAGTCTTTCCATTTCAGCTGTGTTGTCCCCAGTTAAGATGATATCATCAACCTATACAATTAGAATTATTTTTGCCCCATCTTTAGACTGTTGGAAGAACATGGTATGATCTGATTGCCCTTGCTGATATCCTTGTTTTTTAATACTTTTGCAAATCTATCGAACCAAGTTCTTGGTGATTGTTTGAGACCATATAGGGATTTCTTGAGTCTACATAATTGTTTTTCTTCATCTCCTTTGTTGAACCCTGGTGGTATTGTCATGAATACTTCTTCTTCTAGCTCTCCATTCAGGAATGCATTCTTGATGTCCAGCTGTTGAAGTGGCCAATCTAAATTAACGGCTAATGACAACAGAACTCTGACTGTATTTAGTTTTGCTACTTGTGCAAATGTTTCTGTGTAGTCGATGCCATAAGTTTGAGTATATCCTTTGGCGACTAGACGAGCTTTGTAGCGCTCTGTAGTCCTATCAGCTTTGTATTTCACATTAAATACCCATTTGCATCCCACAGTTTTCTTTCCTTTCGGTAAGTTTTCCATTTCCCATGTTCCATTCTTCTTTAAAGCTCTCATTTCCTCCATTACTGCTTCTCTCCATTTGGGTGATTCCAGGGCCTCATGAATATTTTTTGGGATTTTTGTTTCATTCAGGTTAGCTGTAAAAACACGAAACCTTGTAGATAGAGTTTTATAAGATATGAATATTGAAATAGGATGGAGAGTACATGACCTAGTTTGTTTCCTGAGAGCAATAGGTAAATTGTCTGGAGATTCATTGGAGGGGTTCTCATTGGGTCCTATCATCGGTTCCGACTCTCTTGGTGCCTCAGGTGTGAGATTTTCCTTGTACTTCAATTTAGGCTTCCTTTAGTAAACTAGTATATCCTTGTCATTTTGTTTTCCAACATCTCTCCCTAAGTTCAAGCTGCCTTCTGTATATGGCACATTAGAAGGTGAGGTATGTGTTGGTTCAGAAGGAAAAAGGTCAAAGTTTAAGAATGCCCGATCCAAGAACCGATCTTCACTCTGATTCTCCCTCTGAAGGGAATGTTTTTGGAAGCAGGGTGTTCTTTCGAAGAAGGTGATATCTAGGTTGACAAATACCTTTTTTGTGGATGGGTCATAGCATTTGTAGCCCTTTTGAGTGGGTGAGTAGCCAATGAACACACATTTGATTGCACGTGATTCAAGTTTATTTCGATGATGGGAGTGAATACGTACGAAGGCAGTGCTCCCAAACACTCTTAAGGGTAGGTTTGAACTGAGGCGAGAAGTAGGATAGTACTTTTGAAATTTTTGTATAGGTGAGTTGAAAGAGAGAGTACGACTAGGCATTCGATTGATGAGATATGCGGATGTTAGAATGACATCTCCCCAGAATGTTTTTGGCATGTTTGTAGTGAACATTAAAGTATGAGCAACTTCAAGTAGGTGTCTATTTTTTCGTTCAGCAATCCCATTTTGTTGGAGAGTGTTGACACATGAGCTTTGATGGACTATCCGTGTCTTTTCAGGTAGTCTTGCAAAGTGGTATTGAAATATTCTGTGCCATTGTCAATACATAGAATTTGAAGTTGTGTTTGAATCATAGAGTGGAAATTTATGAATACTGTGCGAACATCAGATTTTTATTTTAGTAGATAAACCCAACATAATCGAGTGTGGTCATCGATGAATGTGAAAGCCATTTTGTGTGGGTGCGATTAGGATCACGAGAAGGTCCCCATAAGTCACTGTGAATTATGGTAAATGGCTTAGATGGTTTGTATGTGGAATTTGGAAAATTTGTTCGTTGATGCTTTGCAAATTCACAATTTTCACATTGAAGCTCAAATGATGTTTTATTCAAGAAAAGAGAAGGAACTACACGCTTCAAGTATTGTAGACTAGGATGATCCATTTTATAGTGCCATAACAGAATTTCACTATCCCTAGAAACAGACGTTGAATTACAACTTGAAAATTGACCTAGCTTACTCATATCAGCTTCTTCGAAGTAGTAAAGTCCTTCACACTCTTTAGCATTGCCAATCGTCTTCCCCGATGAAAGGTTCTGAAAGACACAATATGATGGGAAAAATTTAGCTGAGCAATTGGAATTTTTTGTAAGTTGACTAACAGATAATAAGTTACAGGATAAATTTGGGACATGAAGGACTGATTCTAGTGTTAAAGATTTAGAGATTTTAATACTCCCTTTTCCTGCAACCGATGAGAGTGAGCCGTCTGTAATTTTTACTTTAATGTTTCCAGCAAAGGTGGAGCATGAAGAGAATAAGTGATATAAGTCCGTCATATGATCAAACAAACCCGAATCAATAATCCAAGGGGTTTTGTGTCGTGAAGTATTTAAGGCTTTCAAAAAGTTACCTTTGTGAGCTAAAGAACTAGATGAACATTTTGAGAAAGATTGACTGGATGTCTGGAGACTGGAAAAAATTTGGTAGAGTTGCTCCAGTTGTTCTGAATTAAATGTCGCGCTTGGAGTGGGATTAATGTTTGTCTCGGCTTGGCATCCTCAGCCCCTTGTGTTCTGCTTTGGTTTCCCGTGAATATCCCAACAAGTGTCTTCTTTGTGCCCCGGTTTGCGACAATGTTCATACCACGGCCGTCCTCGCTGCTGTTTTTGGTTGGGTCGCCCGGCTATCCCCTTAGATGACAAGCCCAATGCTCCTTGTCCATTTTTAATTTCTGGTCCAAAATTTGTTTCACTTTCTGGCCCACCTTTTATTTCATTTCCAAGCCCAAAGAATGCTGGCCCAGTTCTTTTTAATCCTCCTGTTCTAGGGCCAAGATTAGCCGGCCCATTTTCTTTAAAAAATGGTGGCCCAAGCTGTGATTTCAAGGCTGATGCTTCATTATTCAGTCCAGAAATTTCCTTCAGCATGACCTGTCGCCATGATTCTTCTCGCTGGACCTCTGTGAACACCTCGTGAGTGGAAGGTAGTGGTCGTCGACCTAGAACCCTACCTCTGACATCGTCGAGTTCTCGAGTCAGCCCAGCTAAGAACTCAAACACTCTTTCATTCTCGACCTTTTTCTTGTACCGTGCACTGTCATTTGAACACTCCCATTCTTCCTCCAAGCTAAGGTCGAGTTCTTGCCATAGGGATACCATCTCCATGTAGTATTCAGTAACATCCCTCGACCCTTGCTTAGTTTGCCACAAACGGGTTTTAAGTTCTAAGATCTGTGATGCATCCTCGGCGTCGGAGTATGTTTCCTTCACGGCATCCCACACGTCTTTGGCCGTTGGAAGGAACAGGTAAGTTTTCCCTATAGAAGGCTTCATGGAATTTACGAGCCACGTTATCACCATTGAATTCTCAGATTTCCACTTCTGCAGACTCACAGCATCGGTCGGTCTTTTTGTATCACCGGTAAGATAGCCCAATTTCCCTTTCCCGTCGATGACCAGTTTTATAGATTGGGCCCATTCTCGAAAATTTCTCCCATTCAGTTTTTCTACTATGAGTTGGAATGAGGAATTTTCGAGATTATTGGATCCAATGGAAGAGTTGGCCTCTGCTTCAGGACGAGAAGTTTCAGAGGTCATTGATTCTTGGCTATTGACGGGAAATTCAGTCATTGGTGTGCTAGGTTAGGACAACCTAGGTTCTGATACCATAAAGAATAAAACTTCTTTTTATTTTCTATGAATATTACACATCCAATACGACCTATTTATATTACAAAGAATGGAATAAAAAAGGAAGACTCCAATCTGTTAAATAAGGAAATAAATCATTTAACTAATAATCATATAAAAATCCTATCAATTATAATATTCTCTGTGTCTTTCCATAATCGGTTTTCTACAATTGGTCAGAAAAATCGAATTTACTGCAAATGCTAGGTTCTTTTGCCTCCTGGTCATGATGATTATCAGTCATCAGACAATCATTCCTCTCATTGTTTCCATCCTTTACTACTCATGGTATTCCATTTTGGAAACTATGTTAATATGTTTTCCGAGTTTGGCGAGCATTTCAAGCGTGTTTGCCAACTAAAAATGGCTCAAAGTGAAAAAAAAAAAAAAATATCTGCTAAGTTAGAATAAATGGTAAGCAAGTTCACCATATTTTTATGAAAGAACAATTTACAATAGAAGGAATACATATAGATCAGGGAGTCCTCCAATGCATACAAAGAAAACAAACATCAATCAATGATCACCATAATGCTGTGCATGTGAAAGAGCTAAATAACTAAGGATCCAGCAGCTTTTGCTCTTACTGATTAGAAAACCACCCAATATAGTACTGGAGATAATACTAATAAAAGATCTAGTGGATAGATCTAGAGTTTGAAAAGAACAAATGATATATGTTGACAAGCCATACCTATTAAATTCAGAGTTGAAGTTAGAAAATTTAAGGATTTAAAGTGCAAGAGAATTATTCAATGATGCCAGGTCCACTTCTCAATCACTAAGGTTGAGAGAAGTGTAAATCCTAAGATATGGATATTCTAAATCGCTTCAAAAATTATTTAACAGGCAAATCAATTGAGCTCATATTCCTCTAGCAGATCATCAACAGATTACGAACCATACCTTCCTGAATAATCAAAGCAAGTGTAGATGTCATGAAGAAAATTCAGAGTTGAAGTTAGAAAATTTAAGGATTTAAAGTGCAAGAGAATTATTCAATGATGCCAGGTCCACTTCTCAATCACTAAGGTTGAGAGAAGTGTAAATCCTAAGATATGGATATTCTAAATCGCTTCAAAAATTATTTAACAGGCAAATCAATTGAGCTCATATTCCTCTAGCAGATCATCAACAGATTACGAACCATACCTTCCTGAATAATCAAAGCAAGTGTATATGTCATGAAGAGTTCGCAGCTCCAAATCTGACTGCCACGAGAGTATCTAACAAATATGGAACACAAAACTTGAGTTACCTCTCTTCAATTAAAGCAATAAAGTTAATTTCATTGAAACAACAAAACAAAATATACCTTTTTCACTAATGGTAAATAAATCACCTCTGGTAGATATGCCAAGGTAGTACCACTATCAATTATTGCTCCTTTATTGTCCCCAACTGTATATATATATGTTGTAAGATTCCGAACATCCAGACCGACTTGAACTGCAGTCATATTGACATTGTAATGGGGCCTACAAGTTATATATATAATTTAGTTTAAGAGCTAAATTTAAAAACTAAGACTCAGTGATTTAGAAGGATGGTAAAATGTTGAACATAAAGAGCCATTTCATATAGAAACTGGTGCAACAAATTAGAATTGAAAAATGAACCTATAAAATTAAACTGACTTTTGAACCACTACAAACTTGGAGAATTTGCAATACATCTATTCACTACAGCAGAATTTTTAAGTAGCCTAAAAGAGGAATTATCAAAATTTCCCAAGTTTTCTCCAATCAGTTCTAAAAAGATGTGGAAAATTCAAGCAACCCGTAGAGGTCTATTTAAATACAGAAATACAGGTTATGGCATGATTCTCTAACAATACCATTCCCTAGAGAGGGTTTCAAAATTTCCAATGTTCTTATGTTATCCTTTCATTTATTCTGTTCTTCGATACCAATCTTCCATTTATCTCCTAAAGAATTTTGTTTCAACTCCAACTCCAAATATCCCATGGTGGAAAATTTTTCCTCTGAGTAAATAAACAGTAATGTACCAAGAACTCAACCAAATAATAAAAAGGCAGGCTATCAGCAATTAACCATTGCAAGACACTTTCCTTGCAATATTTTTACACAAGTTTCTTCAAAATGTATCCCTGAATTCTTTACACTGAGTGCCCATTTTTAAGAGTGTGTTTTCTACACACTTCACCTCTATCAGGTTCACTCAAATTCAAATAGTATGATCGTATAAGTATAGAAAATATCCTATGCCTCTGCAGTATTCCAAGCATTGGCATGAGGAAGGAAGGAGTATCAAAAATTCTTTCAATAATCAAAAGAAATGTTGAAGCCAGAACGAACGTCAAACAGATTTTTGATGACCATTGAAAAAAGTATAAACAAAAAGATCTAGTATTGCTGAATCAAACCAACGTTGTTTGTATAGACCTTGCTGTATTTCTGCACATGATAAACAAGGAAAACTTCGAGGTGAAGCAAACAAAATAAGAGTAACAGAAAGTTAATACACAGATTTCCAGGAGAAAGAGTATAGAATTAGAACCAAGAGAAAGATCCAACATACTGATTTGGTACCAGTGGTGTTGTGTTCACTTGTGGTTGAACAACATGCCCAATGGCAAAGATCCCTCCACCATTCACGCCATCTAAACAATGCGCAAACATCTTTCTTACTCTTCCAGAAGACGCTAGCTGTGAAAGCATGGAGGAATTAGTTTTTCCAAAACCAAGTACCCCATCAAGCGCATCATCTGATGACCCTAGATCCTCAGATTGTCCGGCACCACATCTGCCCAAAACCATCACATAAGGTGATTGCTGAAATAGCATAATATATATTTTTCTAAATGATCAAAGAACGCTAAATTGGCTAACAAAGATGAGAATTCTGCTAGTTACTTTATGGACTAGCATGTGCTGACAGGTAATGGAACATTTATAGAAGCCTTGTAAATTTCAATGCAACAGTTTATATAAGCAAACAATCCTAAGAAATTGAAGGAAGACCATATGTATATCATTTAAATAGTATTTTCAACACCATCTAAAGTAAAGGCATTCAGATGGAATCTTCTAAAGAAAATCAATACTACTAATATGTACAGGAGCATATGTCTTAATAAGACTTAGTAACCTGATGTTTACAACATTTGCTAAGTAACAAAACGCATTCGCATACTTCAGCACAATGTACCTTTGTTAGGTATATATGGTGGAGATTTGGACTTTTGGTGAGTAGTCTTACCAGCATTTCTGGTTATTTTCTGCTTGGAAAACAGTAAAGACACTAGAGAACATAAAACAGGGCTGATGCTTGCAAATTCTAGCACTCAAATTGCCTCGTGAGGTGCTTTTGGCCCTTCCATACCAATTGTATAAGGGAGAATGGTTAGGCTGACTCCAATTACCCGAAGAAAAATTAGCATCATAATTCTTATTAAAGCATAGAATATTCCCTTATTAGAACTCCTTGAAATTTTAAAGATTGGAGCATTAAATTATAACATACCCAAAAATAACACTTCCATTTGCAGATTTGGTCTGAAGATCACCAGAGACTTGATCATATTGGACAATGTCCTCTACAAAATAGCCCATGCTATAGCTCCCATCTCCATAAACCTCTAAATACAAACAAGATGAATTTCCAGTGCAACCTGACAAAGAGGTTCTGATTATCTCCTTGCAGAATTCTTGATCACATGTTATCAGTTTCCCAGTGAGGGAGTCTTTTGGATCATAAAGGGTGAGTTCTATCTGTCAAAACATGAAAACAAATCTGGTAAATTAAAAAATAAAATAAAATAAAAGTAAAGCATCCTTGTGAAATACATTAAATCTCATCAAAAGAACAAAAGAAACGTAGCAAAGAAGAATATTAGTATCATACACCATGGTAGCCCCTTTTGGGGCATTCATGGCATTGGATGCAATTAACCCATGTTATGTCACTTCCTGTATCAACTTGCACATAGTAATCCTTGGAGGGGGTTCCAATCCCTATTTTAGCGTAGTAGAGCCTGCACAATGGACAAACAACAAAAAATGAGCACAACTGCAACCATGTTGACGCTTATATATGATCTTCATTATTTATTCAAATGCATACACTTTTTCCTGAATATTCAAAAGGACATAATGTCTTCATCCATTGCTTCTAAATTAGCATTGAAAGTTCTGTACACTCATTTCGGACAGCCACATATATGAGAACATGCAAAACCAGACAAAATTAGTCAAGTTCGCTACTGTTTGTCAGCATTAAATGATATGTCTACCGTGGAAATAATCTCTCTATACGTGTAGTGATGAGATAAGCCGATATATATTTTGCATAGATATTTCTATAAGCTTTATTATAGTGAATGGAAATAAGAATTATTAAAAAGTGTATGTACATCAAAGCACATAAAAAGAAAAAAGAAAAAAAAAAAGAAAAAAAGAAAAAATAGAGAGTAACTTTACAAGCAAACTAAAGAACGAAGATAATGAGACGATTGCATAACTGTGCCTCCAAGGGTGCTAATTACTACATACGGAAGCAATCATAGATCATAGTAGTTCGTCGTCCTCTCTAAATAAATATAATTCATTTCACAGCATGCAAAATAATGAAGAGCTTCGCTCATTAGCCTTCCGACAGTGACCCAAGAAGCAGTTGATTGCGATTAGTGCATAATGTAAAGCAGAACTACAACTCTACTTCAAGCAAACTAAAGAACGAAGATAATGAGACGATTGCATAACTGTGCCTCCAAGGGTGCTAATTACTACATACGGAAGCAATCATAGATCAAAGTAGTTCGTCGTCCTCTCTAAATAAATATAATTCATTTCACAGCATGCAAAATAATGAAGAGCTTCGCTCATTAGCCTTCCGACAGTGACCCAAGAAGCAGTTGATTGCGATTAGTGCATAATGTAAAGCAGAACTACAACTCTACTTCAAAACGGATTATATCTCATTCAGCAAACACACTCCAACATGGCAGCTGCACATATAAATACATCTATATAATTTCTACGCCTAATCTCATTTTATTCTTATTACTGCTTTAATTTAATTTTCAATCCTGTACAAGAATATAAAACTTCAGATCGATTTCGAAGTTGCTATTACATAGAAACAGTTATCCAAACAGTAAGTTAATAGAACAAAGCATATACTGTATTCAATTACTCACACAAAATTTTCACGATATCCATATTTTCAAATTCGTAATCCAAACCAAGAAGGCCACAAGGTCCTGTGAATCAAAACTTCTAGACTGATATGGTTTTAATTTCTATTACTGATTCGATCCAATTTTCAATTTTGCACAAGCATTTGATACACTAAAAAATTCAGTTGGGCATCCAAGTTAAAAACAGTTACCAATCATTAACTCGTACGAATTTCTGCCTAGCCCATATATTCAAATTCATAATACAAACGAAATATATACAAATGGAACCAAAAAGGAAAATGAAAGGCAAAAAAACCCACCCAACGGCGTCGGGACGGCCGGTACCTCCGAGAGGGAGGTCAACGCCAGCGAGGATGTTGAGATGACGGACATCATCATGAGCTCTAAGGGCACTAAGAGTCCTCTCGGAACCGGCAAATTTGTAACTAACTTTGATTACTCCCGCTCCGCCGCCATTAGCCAACACCACCGTGTGATCGAAATTGAGCACTAGAAGCAGAAAGCATAGGCAGAAGAAGCGCGAGTCCATCGTACGAATTGGAAGATTCGACTTCGTTTATGGGTAACAATATAAATGGATGATCATATATTCCCTGTAATTAACGGCGACTTGGATTCATACACGTTGGTCTTCTAACTATTTGGATAAAGTTCCAATCTGACTCGACGGCTCGATTCTTTGTACATGAAAATGTTATTCTTACCCGGCTTGGCCCCCATTTTGCAGCGTTCAAAATGAGTGAAATAATATTTTTTTGAAAAATAAGTGATTAAAAAAGAAGAAATTTTTTTCGATTTAGGTGTAATAATATTTTATAAAAAATTGTGTGGTTAAAAATAAAAGAGAGAAAAATGTAATGTTAAGGCCTGTTTGATAGACACCCAAATTCCATGAAAAATATAATTCGTTTTCCAACTTCCACTTTTTGCCATATTTGATAGGTTTTTTCATGGAATTGTCTTTCTTGATTGTCTCGAAAATCGGACTTTTCTTGGTTTTTCTTGTATTGTACATGTTTTTTTTAAATGAAAACAAATTCTAAGAATTATTGTAAAAAAATATTTCATTTTAATTGGCAATTTTCATATAAAATAAAGTCAAACGAATATAAAAAAATAGAGGATTTTCTTTATTTTTTTATTTTTATTTTTTGCAATAGAAACAAATTTCTTTCCCAATACCAGTAAAGTTTATCCTTTTAGTTGACAATTTTTATGTAAAACAAAGTCAAACGAACTCCAAAAGACACTTTTATTTCAATATTTTCCACGTGAAAAATTATACCAATCAAATACAATAATTTACAATTCTCAGAAAAACAATTTCTAGGTAATTCAATTTCTTGAAATTCGTTTTCAATTCAATTCAATTCCATCTTTACAATCAAACGGACCCTTAATGTGATAGAAATTAATGGGAGCCAAACGCAGGCATTTTCACTATGAACCTGATAAAAAAATGCATTATATAAATTTTTTTCATAAATAACCAACTCACACAATAAAGAATATCAAGAAATAAGCTATTTTCCTTGACCATTGACTTCTCGCGCTACATTACATTATTTTTGTGTACATCAAATTGAATGACCCATAGAGCAAACCCCAAGAAATGATTTCATTGCATTAAATAATAGATAAGAGTTTTTATAGTAACAAGATTAAATGTTTATCTCAATTCATAAATTCCAAATTATTTGTCGTTACATTTCTATGTTTTCAATGGATATCTTGAAAGCAACTAGAAGGTAAGAAATTTTAAATAAATTTAACTTGTAAAATTGCTTAAATGTGTTGGAAAGTTATTATTTACATTTTAAATTTTAGGAAATCAAAAAAAGATTACTTTACTAGATTAAAATGATGATAATGGAGAATCTCAAAAAATGACTAAGCTTTCCAAGCCCCCCAAAGAGGAGGCTAAAAGTTGGCTAGAATGGAGTACATGTAAGGTAGCTCTATTCGATCAACTTCAGAATTAACGATGAGGGAATATAATTTCACGAACAGTGACATTCAAATCAATGAAACGCACTTAATTCACAAGTTAGACGGGTTGGCAAGTGGGCATTCTACTTGATTTAATCATTTGGCTAGTTTGGAGAGTCGAAAAGATTTTGAATTTTTCTCGATCCGAAATTGCTCTTGAAATTGGAAGGTTAAAAAGTGTTTTAAGTGTCATTTATGTCAATTTCCCCTCACAGTAAATAGTATTGACCAACTGGCTTATGATGTTAAACGGATTTGGGCTTCAATTCATTACGGGAAGATAATTGGGAAAAATTCAAAAGTGAGGATTTAAGTATGACAAATTCAATTTTCAAGTGTCAAGTTTTAAAATACAACATTCAGGTATTAGCTAATTAATTAAAAATATTTATTAATTAAATTTAATAAGGTCACATATACATAATTATAGGTCACAACTTTTTTACTGGTTACATATTGTCAAATTTATTGGTCACAAATCAAAGATTTTGCAAGTTATAGATTTTTTCAAGGTCACAAATCAAAAAAATTAAGGGTCATAGTTTATTATCAGTTACAGATTTTCAAATTTGTTATTCACAAATTATCAAATCTTAAGGTCAAAGTTTAATAATTGGTCTCATATGACGAAATAATTGGTTCATTGCCATTGGCACTTGCAACCACCTTCGCGCAACACCATAACATCACCACAATCCCACCACCACCACCACCAGCCGACGTCGCCACCGTCAACACCTCCTTTTGTACCTCCAAAAATCCAAAAAAATCCCCAAAATGCAAATCGATCAACTACACCACCACCATCACTTCTGCTGCCACCTCCACAGTCAAACTACCACCTCACCACCAACACCACAAAAACAACCATTCGGATCACCATCATCGCCACCCATCATATCCAATAACCCAAAAAGTCCCCAAAAGTGCCGAATGCCCAAAAGCGCAAGGTTGTGTTGCAATCGAACCCCTAAAAGTCTCATTCACACATCTTTTAGGTCACAAATTAACCAATAGTCACAACACCCAAACAATGATCACACTCTTCCTTCCCACTGCCGCAATCACCGTTGCTACAGTCACCATCACACCAACATCAACTCACCATCACCATCAGCAGTTCAAGACTTTTCTACAGCTTCATTCTATTTGAATTGTCCCTTCTTCAACAGGTCTATCAGTGGCTTAGCAATCTTTCTAGAATTTCTCACAAGTGTCCTATAATACCAACTAAAGCCCGAAACCCCCCCCCCCCCTCTCAAGGATTTCACATTGGGGGGAGTTGGCCGCGGAGTCATGCTCTCAATTTCAGATGGATCTATAGCAAGACCCTCTCCAGAAATGATATGACCCCAGAAATCTATCTGTGATTGCCCAAAATTCATACTTTGACAGTTTAGCATAAAGTTTATGTTCCCTCAGAATAGAAAACACTGCCCTAAAGTGTTTCAAGTGCTCCTCCACACAATAATTCATCACCACATCGACCACAAACCACCATCACAATAACCACACATACCACAACAATCACAAAAAAATCATCACAACAACCGGCGGCCACAGAAGCCACCATAACCATTGGAGAAATTAAATGGACAGCTACCGTCATGCACTAGATCGCCTAGTACGAAGAAGCGCCGTTGGAGTGGGTGTATGTCATCGAGCACCAGATCACCAACTCGTCGGAGCAAGCGTGCGTCAAGAGTCATCGGAGTGGTTGCATTGTGAAGAGAGAGAGAGAGAGACACCGGTTGTAAACTATGGATTGAAAAATGTTTTATTGGGTAGGAGTGGATGGGTTTGGTGGGTGGGTGGGAATATGTAAATTTATTTACTTTTTATAATATTGTTATTATATATTAATTATCTGATTTGTGCTTAATTAAACTTCTCATCTAATTTAAGAATAGTTATCTTTAAAATCTTGGGAGGATGAAATTTTCCCAAGACTAGAGCCTGTTTGTTACTTTATCAAACTGAAAATTCTAATCTTTTTTTTTTTTTTTTTAGTTTTCCCGTTTCAGTATTATTTCTGTATTAGTTAAATAATATAATATAATAAACCATTTAGATATATCTTAAATCTCTCTCAATTGAAGTAGAAACAAAGCCCCTATTTGACCTTCATTTTTCAGAGGTCATTTTTCATTAAATTCATTTTCAACCATATATTACATCGAATTCACAACTTTTTAATCATAAATTCCATTTGAAAAGAGGTGATTAATTCCTCTAAATATTAGTTAAGCATGGATTCCATTTTGTGGCTCTAACTTTGGTCCTAGCTTCCTCGAAACTACCTTTTCTTGAGTGCATTCGATCAACAATTTTCGTTTCTTAATGATTAAGGACTTGTTTGGGCCCCATTAAATTGGAAAAAAAAATCTATATCTAAATAGTAAATTGGTGGAGAATGTGTCGTTAAAAAATAATTTTTTTTAAATTTACGTGTAGTATTATTTTATTGAAAAATGTGAGGTTGAAAAGAAGAAAGAAAATTTTATTTAAAAAAATGGGAATCAAACAAAGTCTAACCTTGCTACATATACACTATGGTATACACTTTAGTTTACACTTTGCCACGTAGTATTATTCTATTGAACCGTTTAAATCTCAAACAATTTTTCCATCCAATTGACATTTGAGAACAATGCAAGTGTGAACCAAAGTATCAAAAATTAGTATACAAATAACAAAGTTCAAATATTAAATAACCCACTTCAAAGTCTAATTCTTCTTAATGCCCTCAATCTTAAAATTGGCAAAAGATTTCTCAACTTAAGATTTTTAGCGTCTAGTAATCTTCTCAGTACTAAATAATCTTAACCCGATATTTTCTTGTCCGAAATATATTTCTCAATATTTACAATTGGGTATAAGCTCATTACAAGACATGATTATAACATTTTCACAACTTCAAATTATAGTTCTTAAATTTTTTTCGTTATTTTTGCTTTAATCCTTAAAGTTTCTATAGTACTAAAGTGCATCATGCTCGACTGCTCTCAAATAATAATTTTGAATATGATCACCCGCACGCTGATAAAAAATTTCCCAAGTTATGGGTAATTTTACTATTTTGCACTTAGGTCTCTGAGTTTTCTAAAATGTGCTAAAAGAATCCTAAAGCTTCTTCAACTATCACATATGCAGCATATTATATTGTTATAAAATTCTTAGGGTATTATACACTAGTATATATATAAAAAAAAGGTTGGACCCCAACTTTAAGGGCTCCCCGTCGTCCCGCTCCTAGAACTTTGTGAGGAAAGTAAATCGCGAGATGTGCTCCAACAGGTCAGGAAATAAGAGTTGCATATACACTGTGGCTACAAGAAATCAAATTCCATGTCTCGGGAATCGAACCCCGACACTGTGACTGCCAGCAAGGAGTGAAATAACCTCACTCCTATCTTTTACACCACTGGGCTATGTCTCGGGGGCTATTATACACTAGTATATAATTGTACTGAAGGTCATCAAAGTTCATTTATTATTGTACTTGTATTTTTTTTCATTTTTTCGTCACGTCTTAATTCTCAATCTTATATTAATTAGAACATTTTAACTTTTGATCATGGTTTATATCCAAATATTTGGTAGCTTGCATTGAAATGAGGGTCCTATCACTTTTTTTTCTTATTTAAAATATAAAAT